GGTAGGCGTGAAAACGCATGGGCTCCTCATGTCGTCGAGCAGGACAAGCGCGACAGCACGTGGGTTCTTAACGCTCCCGAGCGGGACAATCGTGGGAACACGCGGTGTCCCGACGCTCCCGCGCGGGGCAAGCGTGACAACACGTGGGTTCCTGACGCCCCAGAGCGGAACAGACGTGGGACAAACGTGGATCATGTTGGTTCCCAAAGCGTGACAAGCGTGAAATCACATGGGTTTCTAATTCCCCAGGGCGGGACAAGCGTGAACACACATGGGTCCCTAACGCCCAGAGCGCGACAAGCGTGAAACCATATGGATTCTTGACGCCCCAGGGCGGGACAAGCATGAAAACGCAGGTGCTCCTAAACCCCCAGGGCGGGACAAGCTTGCAAACAAGTGGGTTCCTGACGGCCCAGCGCGGGACGGCGTGTGCCCTTCCCCCTTTTTCGGCGCGTCCTCTGGCTCGTCCTTTGTCGCGTTCCCTGGCTTGTCCTGTGGCGCTTTCCCCGCCCGTTCTGTAGCGTTAAGTCGGGCCTGTCCCTCTACAGAGGGAATATTCAAAAATAGTCAACAAATAGTCTGGGGACGATTGTTCGAACATTTCCGAGCATGTTCAGGGTATGTTTGGGGTATGCTTAATTTTTCATCGAAAATCGGCCTGTAGGGGGATAGGCCCGACTTAACCGTAGCGCGTCCTTTGCCGCGTCCCTTGACGCATCCCCTGGCGCATCCCCGAGTGCGCTCCCAGCACAGCCCGTGGCGCGTCCCTGCGCCTCGTGCCCCGTGCCGTCTCGCCCCGCTTCGGTGTTGAGTTGTAGGCGTGGAGATGGCGTTAAAAAGGTGCGATTCGTGGTGAGAGTACACCGGCATGCGCAGGATATGTGGCACAACCATGCGCCATGCGCTGTGATGCACACGCTCCACGTGGCGTGCCAATACGTTGCTGCATTATGATAAGGGTTACAGCCGCTCGACTGGCCAAGCGCGGATGTGTTATGTCATGTGCCGGTGAACCCACCCACCCACCCTATGTCCAATAATAAAAACTTGAGCTCTTGGATCTTGAGCTCGAGCTGATGGAGCGCCCCACACGTTTCGGCTGCAACCAGTTTTGGGCCAGCTGTGTGCTCAGGCAGCTCGAGCTTAAGATCAGCTCAGGCAGGATGCGGGTGCCAACGGCGGCCTGATCCACCATGCAACAGAGCACGACGCAACTCATCGCGGCCTGACGCATCTCACCTCAGCACGGCACAGCACTCCACAGTCCTGACACGATAAAGCACGGTCGATGCATTCAGCACTGCAATTGCTTTTCGCCCAACCAAGTGTCTTGACAACGTAGCCATGCTTCGGAGTTCTAATTTATTTTCCGTGGGTCGACCTTATTGTTACACATAAGACACAAACCGCGGATTTCCAGCGCACCTTCGGCGTATTTACCTCTAACGAGTGTGTCCGACGTACTGTCAGAGTACATCGGCATACCTTCGGCATATCTTCTGCAGATCTGCGTAAGTTACCAAGAATCGAGCGTTAGTTGCGAAGCATCTTGTCACCGGGGGCGCGAATCCAACGTAATGTAGTTACGAAGGACCGTAGCCTTGAAGGAGCGGACGCAGCATCACTTACTAGTGATCGTGGCGCTGGACGTGATCGTGGTCCTGTGAGCGCGGACGCAGCGTAGTTCACGAGGGATTGCGTGGCCCTTGACATCTCGACTAACAACGGGGCGCGACGATCCCAGGAGGCTCCAGGTGATCCGCGGCGCGTCCCTTGGCGCGTCTGTGGCGCGTCCCGTCTCACGTCCCTCAAGGGAGGAAAAACCACCCGGACCGGACAAGTGGCGTTTGCTGAACGGACTTGGGCGCTTGCTAAACAGCCCTGCCCTGTTTGATTCCTTCTTTGGGCGCGTTTACTAAACGGCTTCGCGTGTCGGGGTGGTTATTATCGGGTTGGATTTTCTGCCCTCTAGTCCCGTGGCGCGTTCCGTGGCGCGTTCCTTGGCACGTCCCCTGGCGCGTCGCCTGGCACGTTCCCGTGGCGCGTTCCGTGGCGCGCTCCCCTGGCACGACGCGCGGCGCGCCCCCTCGGCACGCCCCGTGGCACGTCCACTGGCACGTTCCGTGGCGCGTCCCCTTGACACGTCCCTTGGCACGTCCCCTAGTGCGTCCCCTGGGACGTTCCGCGGCGCGTCCCCCCTACAGTGGGGGCGCGTGCCAAGAAACCAGTTGGATTTTGCCAGGGTGCCTTGAGTTTCTTAGATTTCGATGGGCTTCCAATCTGATCTTGACGATCCTCGATCGACACATGTGGACTTTCACTGAACACATCGCGGATCTCAGGGTTGGGTTTCTTGCGGAGGTTTCTTGTGGCCGAGTCCCCTCTGTAGCATGTCCCTTGGCGCGTCTCCTGGCACGTCGCCGTGCGGCACGGCGCAGCGCAGCGGAGCACACCACAGCTCTTGGCACAGTCTCTTCAGCACTGCCACTTCCCATCACCCGATTGAGGTCTCTATAGAATCGTTTCCGTGCCTCGTTGTCAATACATTTCTGGGTTCGGGGCCCGATCATATTCTAGACAGCGCAGCACTTTAAACGAGTCTGTGGAGGAGTCTCTGACATCATCCCCCTGTCGTCCCCCTCCCAGTAACGGAACCTCGCAGTATCTCACGGCCTCACCGCCCCCCTCCCGTTTTTTGGAAGCGGCATGCGAAGCAATAGCCAACGACGCTCCCCATTCAGCGCGGCTGTGTCGATGCTCGAGGTTGGCCCTCCGATCCAGGCAGGGAGAAGGGAGGAGGAGGAAGAGGAGGAGGAGGAGAAGGATGAAAACGAAGAAAAGGACGAGGGGGTGGGATACCGGAAGGAAGTGAAAGAGGAGGAGAACGGACGAAGGAGAATGAAGGTTATAGGAGCAAGCGTGTACCGAGTAAGCGTAATTCATCTGGCACGCCGAATGCACATTGTACCAAAATTTGTATCATGCCGAATTCTGGTAATTACCATAATCCCTCAATACGAGACTCCTGAGGTGCCAAACTCATCCTGTTGACGAACTCCTCCCGTGCCATACTCTTCAGGTGCCATACTCTTCCAGTACGAAATTCTTGCGGGGCCATACTCCTCCCGTGCCATACTCCAGTGCGAAATTCCGTCGGTGCCTAACGTGCCTAATTCATCTCGTGTCTAACTCATCCAGTGCCTAAGTCAGCTGGTGCCTAACTCATCTGGTGCCTAATTCATCTGGTGCCAAGCTCATCTGGTGCCTAACTCCTCCAGTGCCTAGCTCATTTGATGCTCAACTTACCTGGTGTCTAGCTCATCCGGTGCCTAACTCCTCTGGTGCCTAACTCATTCAGTGCCTAACTCATCTGGTGCCTGACGTTTCCGGTGCCAAACTCATGTTGTGTTCCTCCGGTGCCTAACTCATCTACTCAACTCATTTGTTGTCCAACTCATCCGGTACCTAAATCATCCAGTGCCTAAATGATCCGGTGCCTAACTCATCCCGTGCCTAACTCATCTGGTGTCTAATTTATCCAGTGCCTAACTCATCCAGTGCCAAATTTATTGGTGCCTAACTCATTCGGTACCTAACTCATCAGGTGCCAAAACTCATTTGGTGCCTCATTCATCGGACTCATACCTCATTTGATGCCTGACTCATCCAGTGCCTTCCTCATCTTGTGCCTAAGTCACCTGGTGCCTTATTCATTTGGGCTAGCTCATCTGGTGCTCAACTCATCCGGGCTAACTCATCCCGTGACTACTTCATAGGGTCTAATTCATACGGTCGCGGTTCACCCGAACCGCGGATCGGATGATTCGGAGCGGATGAGTTGCCATCGGATAAATCAGCCAGTCTCCCTCTTGGGGCCTCTTGGCGGCTTCTGGGGCTGTCTGGAGGCCATTTTGGGCGTTTTGGAACGATCTTTCGGCGACTCGGGGCCTCTTGGACCGTCTGGGGGACGTCTGGGGCGCTCTGAGGGACCTTGCGGGGACCTTGCCGGGAGTTTGCCGGGAGTCTCCCGGGTTTCGGCCAGGGTATTTTTCGTTCCGGGCTTCCCAGGAGCCGCCGCCACGCGTGCGCGAGGTCAAATTTGCAAACGTGTAGCCGAAGATTTTAGCACGCCCCTGGCCCGTTGTGCCGGAGAATTTTCAATGCGGGAAGTGCCCCGTTGAGAATCTTCAATCTTGCCAGAGTGCCATTTTGCGGACGTCAAAGCCGCGAATCATCAACGGGACGATGGCGTCCTGAGTGTCTTAAATCGCGCCAGGGCACCGTTCTTGAGACTTCAGCAGAGGGAGGGAGGGAGGGAGGGAGGGAGGGAGGGAGGGTGGGAGGAGGAGGAGGAGGAGGAGGAGGAGGAGGAGGAACAACATGAGGAGCAGCAACAGTAGGAACAGGAGGGGGAGCGGGAGCGGGACTCCTGCCGCCCCGCCGACCACGCGGTCAGCATTGATTTGTTTTGGGGAGGCAGTAGCCACCAGTTGATTTTAGCGCGCGGGGTTGTATCAACCTACGCCGATCCCGGCCCGGCCATCCTGGACCCAGGATCGGCGTATTCATACAGATAAGACGCTGAAATAAGGACCGCTTTGGGTTCGGAAGGGGTTCGCTGTTCCTGAGGTCCTATGGTTGTTTTGTTCCTCTAGCCCTCCTCGTGCACGCAGGTGCTCTTTGGGCCAAAGAGGGGTTTCGTTCCTTGTTCATCGTTCCCTATTTCAGCGGCCCGACTGTCAACCTACGCGGATCCTGGCCAGGCCATCGTGGATCCAGGATCGGCGTATTCATGATTGCGCACGCTTGGCCAGGCCAGGAGGTTGTACCTTCCGAAGAATAGCTGGGCCCAGGACGAGTCTGGCCACGATTACTGTGTGCGACTCGATGGCGTCCTCCGAGGAGGGTGATAGGAGGGAGAGGAAGCAGTCAACGACACCAGCCAGCGTGCCAGGAGGTAGCGGCCCTGAACGAACGGTTTCGCGATTGCACACGCGCAGGTCTTGTGCAACATGGGGGCTGCAGTCGTGGTGGACCGCCTCATCTTCCGCGTTTACGCCTCCGTGCCCTACGTGGAGGGTGGGGCCAGGGAGAGGGAAGGGTGATTCTCTACCCCCCTCCTTTCCTCCTCTCCCTCCTCCACTTGAGCGACGGAATAAAACGGGGCCGATTTCCCCGCGTAAGGTCGCGCGTGCGCGCCTTCGTTTCCCATGCTGTGTGCCGCGTTGGCGGCCTGCGTAAGCCACCACGTGAGGTCGCTATGCCATCTCGCGTAAGACCCTTTTTTCTGCGCTTACTCGGACAGCATGGATGAGACGACGACGCCGGCGGAGTCGACGAGGGCGATGGGGAGGACCAGGGAGGCGAGTGGGGAGAGAGTGGGGAGGGGGAAGTGGGCGAGGGGAAGGAAGGCATGCGCGGCGTGGGTGGCGGGGTTTCCTTTGAGGGGGGCTGTGCGGAGACCGCCGCAGGACGAAGAGGAGAAGGAGGAGGAGGAGGAGGAGGA